TAACAAGCATTGCTTAGCGCATATGAACAAAGTTTTCAGCGTACAGGATAACAAATGCGAGTCTACTCAAAAATTACATCTTTGGAGCATTCACCCGCTATAAGGCGGGCACCTTTCAGGACGCCCTCATAATACATCTCGGGCTTGCGATACTCCTTGCCCGGCGGTGGCGCGTCCGTCACAAGCTTCTCGGCGTCCATCCTGCCCCAGTGCACTTTAGCACGGGCAAGGGCCCGACGGGCACCTTCAATGCTGACGGAGCGCTTGATGACTCCAATCCATGGGCAGGCATCCACCAGCCGCCGCACTAGACCAAAGTAGCTCCCAGGCATGGCTTCTTTCGGCCACAGCCGAACTATAAGGCCCTTCATGGCCTGTTCGGCCACCTTGTGGAGCTCGACCAGCTGCTTCAGCTGGTCGCTCAGGGGCACCGGATGTCCGGCCTCAGCATATTGAGACCAGAACACCTTTTTCGTCGAGCTCCCCTCCTCGGCTCGGTAGAACGCGGCAGCATCAGACACACTACAGGGCAGATCGGCGAACGCTCCTGGAGAGCTCTGGACTCGGGTAAATAACAGATAATTCACTTTTACATGCTTGCTTTGCATAAAGAATGCCTTACCCGCCACTATCTTCTTTATCGCCTCCATCTCCTGGAGGGCCTTCTGGGCTTCGGCCTTAGCGGCTTTGGCACTGTCAAGAGCCAAGGCGAGCTCGGACTCTCGAGTCTTCGAGTCACGCTCCAAACTCTCGTGTTTTTCCACGAGAGCTTGGAGCTCTTGCCGCACCTCCGCCACCCGCGCCTCCTGCTTCTCTTGCTCGGTGCGCTCCAAGGCCGCACTGTTTTCGGCCTTGGACACCGCTTCCTTCAGGGTCGCCACCTCGTTCGTGGCCCCTGCAATACCCACGTTATTCCTGTCATTTTTTGCAACCAAATCCTTTCTATAAGGTATTACTTTAATAAGGTATTACTTACCTTTCTTGTCCTCGAGGTGCTTCTTGGCAAGGCCAAGCTCGTTCTTGGACCGCTCGAGGCTCTCTTTCAATGCATTGACCTCCGCAGTCAGTGTGGCAGAGGTTAGCAGCGCAGCCTGCATTCCCATATTGACATATTTATGTTAGACTCTTGCGTATATCTTTTTAGATCCTCAGCTCGGCTTTTCTTTCCGAACACCAAACTGAGCATCAGGTGCTACTGTCTATGCGGTAATATTCTTACATATCTTAAAACTTACCTCAAAGCCTGTTAGAAGGCTAGTACAGGCTTCAGTCAGCCCGCTCTTGGCGGACTGAACTTTCTGGATCACCGCACTCATGATAGTGCAGTGCTCCTCGTCGATGGAGGCGCCGTTAAGTGCCTCCAGCAAATTATCCGGCGCCTCCGGTTGGATGGGGGTCACCGGTGTCGCAGTCTCGCCCTTCTTAAGAAGGGACCTCCCGTCGAACTCCGGAACCACTGAAGGTTCCGGTGCGGAGTCCGGCCCAGGGCCGGACTTAGAACCCCTTGGGGTTTGATCCCCCTTATGCCCAAAGTCCGGGAGGTTGCCTTGCGGCACCTTCGAGACCTCCTCCTCCTGGCTGGGCCCCTTTTGGGACCCCACCTCGGCGTCATCAGCAGCGCGAGGAGAGGAGGCGGCCGAAAGTGAAGTGATGTTCATGTCCGATGGAGCCAGGGAGCCGCTCGTTGAAATGTCGAGCCCGTCCTTGGGCGGGCTGCAGGGTTGTATTCGGCGTTAGGAGATTCTATGCGACAAACGAAACGCCATGAATTATTCTGGTATCCGGACACTTACGATGTCGCCAGGGGCTTAGCCCTCGGTGGCCACTCCTCTTCGCCGTCGTCGGCGTTGGTGGAGTAGTCCGGAGGAAGGGTCCTTCCCTTCTTGGACCCACTGGGGAGGCCTTCCTTTTCTTCTCTCCCCCTGCTGGGGGAGAAGCCTCTTTTTTCTCCTCCTCGTCTTCGCGGGAGGAGTCCGCCTCGGAGTCATCGGACGATGAGTCCGATAACACCTGACGCCGGGAACTCTTTCGGGTTCCCGTGGCCTTCTTCTTGGCCTTCTTATCCGGCACCACGTAAGGTGCCGGAACCAGCAGCCCCGTCAATCAGGCGCCCGTTGGGTCTTCTGGTAAGGGAGCCGGACATTTAACCTGCCCGGACTTCTTCTGCCAGGCCTGTCAAAGGTAGGGGAGTTTAGATCCCGCATAGAGTCAAACTATGGAAAATAAACGTCCTGTAAAGGGTAAAATAGCTTACCTCGCCGGCTTGACGCTGCGAGCCCAATCCGCGATCTTCGGTAGTGGATGCGGGAGCCTCGGCGCCCTTGAACAGCACCTTCCAGGCATCTTCGTACGTAGTGTCAAAGAGCCTGCTCAAGGTTTGGTGCTGTGCCGGATCAAACTCCCACAAATTAAAGTCCCGTTTTTGGCACGGGAGGATCCGGCGGATGAGCATGACCTGGACTACGTTGACGAGCTTGAGCTTCTTGTTCACCAAGGTTTCGACGCAGGATTGGAGTCCGGTCAGCTCCTCCGAATCACCCCATGATAGGCCCTTCTCTTTCCAAGAGGTGAGCCGTGTAGGGAAGCCAGATCGGAATTCGGGGGCCGCTACCCATTTAGGGTCATGCGGCTCGGTGATGTAGAACCACCCCGATTTCCACCCCTTTATAGTCTCCACAAAGGAGCCCTCGAGCCATAGGACGTTGGGCATCTTGCCCACCATGGCACCTCCGCACTCCGCTTGGCGGCCGCCCACCACCTTCGGCTTGACATTGAAGGTCTTCAGCCATAAGCCGAAGTGGGGCTGGATGCAGAGGAAGGCCTCGCACACGACGATGAACGCCGAGATGTTGAGGATGAAATTCGGGGCCAGATCGTGGAAATCCAGGACGTAGTAAAACATGAGCCCCCAGACAAATGGATGAAGTGGAAAACCTAGTCCGTGGAGGAAGTGGGTGAGGAACACCACCCTCTCATGGGGCCCGGGGGTGGGGATGAGCTGCCCCTTGTCGGGGAGTCGATGCGCGATGTCGCTGGACAAGTATCCGACCTTTCGCAGCCTTTTGATGTGCCCCTCCGTGACGGAGGAGGCCATCCACTTGCCTCCCGCTCCGGACATGGCTGGGGAAGGTTGAGGCGAGATGTGCGGACTTGGGCGCTGGAGCTCGAGTGCGCGGAAATGGATAAGCAAAGGAGGAAGAAGGCGTAGGTAAAAAGGTGGATCCTTATCCCCTTATATGGACGGACGAAACTATGCGTCCCCACCAGCCTGGTAAAACTCGCTTATCTCCCAAGCACTGTAATCAATGGCGCGGTTGGGTTACCCACGCCCGTATTAATGAGAATCCCGGAATAAGGGGACACGATCTCTACTTTGACAAGACGTGCCAAGGAAACCGCTTTGCTAAACGCACTGAGGTGGAGCAGTAAATAAAGGCTTGGCCGTGGTGTGTTGTCACGCCACGAAATACGTCAGCAGATTAAATTTGTGTAAATATTATTCTCTCTACGGTGGTATGTGGAACTTATTTTGCAGAGCCAGACACTATCCTTGTATTCAAAATCTTCTATGAAGTATTCGGAGGAGCAACCCGCCTTGCAATGCCGAAGACAATATGTGCGCCGGACTCGTCGTCATTGAAGCCTGGTTCAGGGCTACTGAGGGAGTCCTGAATTAGGGGGTGTCCGGATAGCCGAACTATCACCGTTGGCCGGACTCCTGGACTATGAAGATACAAGATTGAAGACTTCGTCCCGTGTCCGGATGGGACTTTCCTTGGCGTGGAAGGCAAGCTTGGCGATACGGATATGTAGATCTCCTACCATTGTAACAGACTCTGTGTAACCCTAACCCTCTCCGGTGTCTATATAAACCGGAGGGTTTTAGTCCGTAGGACGAACAACAATCATACCATAGGCTAGCTTCTAGGGTTTAGCCTCTTTGATCTCGTGGTAGATCTACTCTTGTACTACCCATATCATCAATATTAATTAAGCAGGACTAGGGTTTTACCTCCATCGAGAGGGCCCGAACCTGGGTAAAAACATCGTGTCCCTTGTCTCCTGTTACCATCCGCCTAGACGCACAGTTTGGGAACCCCTACCCGAGATCCGCCGGTTTTGACACCGACAAACATCATTATGGTGGGATCACTAGGATGTGGGCCAGGTATCATCATTGTTGCCGAAAGGCCAGCATACGTCTGGTCTCTGACATAGTTTTTGGATTATTTTCACAACTGCCACTCCTACCCATCTCCTCCTCTCGCCTGGGGAGGATATCCTATGCTCCCACACATTATGTGTTCCCATGATACAATTTTTCAAAAAACATATTTAGATGTTTCAAAACATTCTGAAAATAATTATGAGTGTTCATAAGACATATGTCGACAACCTGTTAAAAGTTCAAGTCAAAAATTCGAAATACACATGGGGAAACAAAAAGGACAAAATCCGTATGTAAATATTTTCATTCTGGCTTTTGTCTTTTTGTGGCACTATTCATACTAAATTTGTCTTTTTTGTTTCCCAATGTGTGTTCCAAATTTTGATTCGACCTTTTTACAGATTGTAGACACATGCCTTTTGAACACTCACAATTTTTTTTGGAATTTTGTGAAACGTTTAAAAATGAATTTTGAAAAACGGGTGCATGGTAGCATGTAATGTGTGATAGCATCTAATACTCTTCCCTATCGCCGGAAGCTGGTAGCACATAAATGGAGAGTAACTCAATGCGTGTTGCAGGTACCCATCCAGACTGACAAAACTAAATGCGCTCAGAGCGGAAAAGAAAATTATACTACCTGTATACGGTCAAGAGATATTAGTATACAAGCTTTGTGTATTAAAACTGCACGAATCACGTGAGAGCTGATGGATAGAATTACATCCTCGCGTGGCACCATGTCCACTCGTGATTTATCGTCAATACCGCTCTTTTTGTTGGAGTCGAAGGGACGCCCTCTCACACAAAAAGCATAGCTTTGACCCAAGGAATGGACGCGCCGGTGCATGTTCTCGTGTTCCCGTGGCCGCTGCAGGGCCACATCAACTGCATGCTCCATCTCACAGCCGCCCTCCTCGACGCCGGCTTCCGCGTCACCTTCCTCCACACCGAGCACAACCTCAGCCGCCTTGTCCCAGCGGCGCTGCCGCCGGGCCTCCGCCTGCTGTCCGTTCCCGACGGCCTCCCGGACGACCACCCCCGCTCAGTACGCAGCCTCAAGGAGCTCTCGGAGTCCATGTTCACGACGGGCAGCGCTGCGTACCGCGCCCTGCTCCTGTCGCTTCGATCCGATGCACCGCCGTTGACCTGCGTTATCGCCGACGGCATCATGCCGTTCGCAGTCGACATCGCGGAGGAGCTCGGCGTCCCGGCTCTCGCCTTCCGCACGGCCAGCGCGTGCAGCTACTTGGCGTACCTGTCCGTGCCAAGGCTCGTGGAGCTCGGCGAGGTCCCCTTCCCTGCAGACGACCCGGTGCGCGGCGTCCCAGGGATGGAGGGCTTCCTACGGCGGCGAGACCTTCCACGTGGAGTCGGCCGCAGCGAGGACGGCGCCTTCGACCCCATGCTGCTGGCGATCGCCGAGGGCATCGCTCACGCCGGCAAGGCGCGGGCACTCATACTAAACACCGCCGCGTCCATGGAGGGTCCGGCGCTCGCGCGCATCGCGCCGCACATGCGCGACCTCTTCGCCATAGGCCCTCTCTAGCCTGTGGAGCGAGGACGACAGCTGCATGGCGTGGCTCGACGGCCACGGGGACCGCTCCGTTGTGTACGTGAGCCTAGGGAGCCTCGCCGTCATCTCGCACGAGCAGTTCACCGAGTTCCTGGCCGGCCTCGTCGCCACCGGCTACGCCTTCCTCTGGGTGCTCCGGCCGGACATGGTCAAGACCACAAGCTCCGTGCTCCGAGAAGCCGTCAAAGAGGCGGGCAGCAAGGCGCGCGTGGTGGAGTGGGCGCCGCAGAGGGGCGTGCTGCGGCACCGCGCGGTGGGGTGCTTCCTGACGCACGGTGGGTGGAACTCGACGCTGGAGGCCGCGGCCGAGGGCGTGCCGATGGTGTGCTGGCCCTTCTTCGCCGACCAGCAGATAAACAGCCGCTTCGTAGGCGCGGTGTGGAGGACGGGTTTGGACATGAAGGACCTTTGCGACAGGGCCATCGTAGAGGGGAAGGTGAGGGAAGCCATGGAGTCCGGCGAGCTCAGAGGCAGGGCCCATGCAATGGCGCAGCAGTTGAAGCTAGACGTTGCGGTGGGGGGTTCGTCGTCATGCGACCTGGAGCGGCTCGTCGGCTTCATCAGGGAGCTCAGACCCATGCAAGTCCAGTCAGGATGAAGATGTGGGGAAGGCCGTTCTCCGCTGGAGGTCCCGTGCGTGCGTGAGCCTATGATGATGTATCTCAGTCGTACTGCTTAATTATTACTCACTTCCTTCCAAATATTTGTCTTTCTAGATATTTCAACAAATAACTACATACTAAGCAAAATAAGTGAATCTACACTCTAAAATATATCTATGCACATCCGTATATGGTAGTCCATTTGAAGTCTCTAAAAAAACAAATATTTAGAAACGGATGGAGTAGTTTTAAGTATGCATCAGTCACGTCACTTTTTCTCCATCATCATGACAACTTTCGTCATATTCCTGAAACCATTCTCCTCCTTTCCCTATCAGAGTGCACACAATAATACTTCACCCTCCCATGCTTTCTTCACATGATTTCAAAGTTCGAATCTAATTTATCTTTTGAACAAAGAGGCTAATTTATGATATGTTTGCATCTTTGTGTTTCACGCAATGAGGACTTCGAGACAACACCACTTTTCGAATACATTTTAAAAGACGAAATATGTATCTGGCAACCATGTGGCAGTTTGCAAAACGATCTACCGCATCCTGCGCCGTCAGATCGGGCAACCGCTCGATCTGCATCTCCCCCGTTCGCAACTCCTACGCCCGAGCGCCCAGGCATGGCGCCACGAGCACGCATTGACCGGCCATCAGTAGCTTCGGTCGAACCACTTGTTCCCTTGCACCCCTCGAGCACCAGTGCCTCCTCAAGTCGCCGCCATAGCCCTTCCACGGCCAACACTTGCCGGTGCAGGAGCTCCATCACCATCTCCATGGGATTCCTGCCTCCCCTGCAGCACATCGAGGACCACGTCCTCCACACGTCTCGGCCATAGCAGCCACTGCTGCCCGCTGTTCTGCTGGCCGAGCTTCTAGCCAAGGCCATAGGCTCCGGCCAGCGCCGACTTGAAGATAGGACACTTGCATCGATCTCCTTCATCTTTTAACAATAAGTTCTGTGCTCATCTAAAATGGATTCGCAATGAAGAGATCTATGAATTTCATGTTGAAGTCGACACGATTCGTAGCCTAAATCAACAACTAAGATGGATAATTGGGAGTTCTTTATATCTGTGTTTTCAGTCTTCAGTTTTCAGATACAGGTTTCATTGGTTGGAGGTTGAAGACAACATTCTCAGTGGGCTTCAGAAAGAGAAAAGAGTTGGGCTATGCCCAATGCTATGTAGAGGCCTAGTTAGGAAAAGTTAATGTTGGCTAAAAAAACATGTTTTGTGGTTTTTTAGCTTCATGGGTGCATCATTTGTACTACATTTTAAGACCTAACGACTTACGTATAAATATCATGCTAACTTTGATTGAAGAAAGATTGATGTAGAAATATATCCTCGGTAACTTCTATGTAAATACCATGATAATTTATATACAATTGATATGATAATTTACGTACAAACACCATGATAAATTTGACATAGAAAATTATTATTGAAAACAAACCCCGGTAACTCTATGCAAATAGCACGGTAATAATACGCACTGTAGACATGATAACTTGCGCAAAAGCACCGCGGTAATTTTGAACCAAGGAAAAAAGTTATTAGAAACATACCCCGCAGACCTGATAATTTTACCCGCAAACAACATGGTAATTTTGACCCCAGGAAAAAAGTGGTTGAAAAACATAATTAACCACATTAACTTATGGGTAAATAAGATGATAATTAACGCTCCGCGGACTTGATAGAATACATACAAACACCCCAATAACTTTGACCCCAAGGGATGTATTACAAATGTGCCACCGGTAATCTCTATGTAAATAACATGGTAATATAAGCACCGCTTAACTGATAACTTACATACAAAACATGATGATAACTTTCTGACCCGGAAAACTTTTCGTTGATAAACATATGCTCGCTAATTTATGTGTAAATAGTACGGTAATATATGTGTCACATACCCGATAATTTACGTATAGAACACCGCGGTTCCATTGACCAAACAAGAAAATTTTGTTTAAAAACACACCCTTGGTAACTTATGTGAAAATAGCATGGTAATATACGAATAAGCACCGCGGTAACATGTTTTACAAAGGGCAAAAGTTGTTGAAAAACATACACTCGATAACTTGTGTGTAAGTGCCATGATAATATATGAACTGCATATCTGATAACTTGGGTATAAACACCACGGTAACATTGACCAAAAGGAGGAAAGGTGGTTGAAAAACATACCCTTGGTAAATTGTGTGCAAATAACACGTTAATACACAAACCGAAGAACTGACAACTTATGTACAAATACCGTGGTAATTTTTTCGGGGAAACACTGCGTTATTTTTTGACCTATGAGAAAAAATTATTGGAAATTTTACCCTAGTAACTTATGTGAAAATTGCAATATAATAGCTGAAGTGAAACTTGATAACTGTATAAACATCGCGGTAATTTGAAACATGGGATGTAGTATGTCAAAACTTCATGTTTTTTGTCCTCTTTTTGTATGCTATCAGGCTTCCTCTCAAAACCATAACCTACACTAAAAACGGCATGGTAACTTTC